TTGCTGTTTTATAGCTCCAGGCTTCAGTGATTCCGTGAATGGTGTGGTCAAACCTCGTATTTTGTTGATGGGCTTGAGAAGGAGTGGGAAGTCCTCCATCCAGAAAGTGGTTTTCCATAAAATGTCTCCCAGTGAGACTCTGTTCCTGGAGAGTACTAATAAGATCTGCAGAGAGGATGTCTCCAGCAGCTCCTTTGTCAGTTTCCAGATCTGGGACTTTCCTGGTCAGATTGACTTCTTTGACCCCACTTTTGACTACGAAATGATCTTCAGAGGCACTGGAGCATTGATCTTTGTCATTGATTCACAGGTCAGTTCACAAGGAAATACAGTGAAACAGTATATACTGTTGTCATGTTACTATAATAGCAAAATGTGATTAAAAGTTTGCAGTAAAAACCCAAAGCTTAACAGATTCACATTTGGCTGATTCCCACATCCAGGACCTCTGTGCACTGTTAGTTTTTCAGAACAGCTGCTATTAGGGCTGTGAGATATGACAACGGCAAACACAAGTCTATCGTTTCATATTTAACTCGTTTATTTTGTGCTATCATAGCAAACTGTTTACTGCAGTATTTTTTTCATTGCTTTAGATGACTGTTTGCAATAGTCACCTCGTCACCTCGTCACCACAGAAAGACCAGCCAAAATGAATCAAGGAGCTTGTTTGTAAATGAGCAGCAACCAGAACAGAAAACTGTGCAAATTATGCAGCGTACTGGTCCCCATACTAATGATCGGCTCTGCTCTGTGGTAAAATCAAATCTGATTGTACCACATCATTAAAGGCAAGAGAGAACTGAATGGCAGTGGAAGGGTTAATAAGAGGGTAATGACATGCTATAGTATACTGCTTAACTTTAATGATGTTTTCAGAATTTGCATATCTGTCAAGTAGGGCTGTGTCATATTATTGTTTGTGGTGATACCATTATAAATGTTTATGTGATAAAGGGTCATAATAATCAGAGATATATTATGATATGATATTCTACCTGGAAAGTAAGGTTCAGTGGAGTTTTATTTATATAGTGCCAAATCACAACAACATTTGCCTCAAGGTGTATCATCATAATCTAAGGTAACACCTACAATAATACAAAGAAAACAGAAAACCTTCAGGGAACTTTTAGAACAGCAAATGCATGAACCAGTTTTTCAGCATAAATCTGAAACAGGATATTTCTAATTTTTGCTATATTACATAGATAAAGGAAAGGAGTCCTATATGTTTGTTTAATGTGTGCATGACTTGTCCTGACCAAAAATGCCTCCATGATTCCTCACAGACCACAGTGAGGCCATCCAGAGGAATTATATGGCGTGTGAGATTTAAACTAATCTCAGTTTTGTCCAATTTAGTCTGACCTCCTATGATAGTAAGATTTTATCTCAAATTCTGGCTAATCGATTAAACCGGGTAATAACCTCTCTTGTACATGTAGATCAAGTTGGTTTCATAAGCTTACGCTCTTCAGCTGATAATATTAGGAGGTTAATTGACATTATGTGGGCGGTTCAGGACAGTCACCCTCCCATAGCTGCGATTTCACTGGATGCCGAAAAGGCATTCGAGAGTCGAGTGGGGATATTTATTCGCCACTTTGGAGTGTTTCGGTTTTACCAAAAGCTTTATTAATTGGATTCAGCTTATATATGTACACCCCAAGGCATCAGTACTCACAAATGGAATAATAGGGCCTTCTTTTGAACCAGGTAGAGGAACCAGGCAGGGGGATCCCCTCTCCCCACTTCTTTTTGCTCTGGCCCTTGAGGGCAAGTGTCTTTGATCTACCAGAAACTGCTGATTGACATGTCTGATAATACCTATCATATAAAACAACAATGGGAAAGGGAACTCAATATAATTTTGGATGATGTCACATGGGAGAGTGTCTGTTGTGGCTGCCACAGAGGGGCGGGTAGTCAAATGTGGAAGGAATTCGACTGGAAGGTTAAATTAAGGTTTTTTAGAACTCCACTGAAAACCTTTCTATCTAAAAGTAGATAAAGAAAAATGATAACAATTCACTGGCTCAAACCAGAAACACCCACAGTTGCCCAGTTGACATGTCTATATGATGGAACGGATAACAGCTCAACTACAACTAAAAGTGCCAACCTTTGAGAAAAAATGGAGACCAATTTTAAAATATCTTGAAAGGACACTCAAACCTTAACATTGTTACATCTGTGCTTAGGTATTGGTATGTATGTATTAGGGGTGCA